AGCATATGGGCGTTTCCCAAACAGTTGTGGCTGGCCATCTAAGCAGCTTGGAACAATGAAGAAACCCCTGAGAAGTAAGTGCCACACCAACTCACGGAGCAGCAACAATTGAGGCGCTTAGAAATTTCAAGTTCCTTGCTGAGAAGGAATGATATTAATGATGTTAAGCCGTCCCTTTGTCGCATTGTAAGTGTAATAAAAAATGGATCGTATACGACATTAGAAAACGTTTTGCTCGGTGGATAGGTGTAGATGAGGACCTTTTAACGTAGAACTTTTCCCATGCCAATTGCACACGTCAAGAAGACAATGATCACAGTTTGGTGGTCTAGCCATGGATTGATCCACTACCCGTTTCTTCGTCCGATCAAACCAATACCGATTAGTATTACTGTGATAAAATTCACTAGATATACTAGAAACTAGAGCGAATGCAGATAGCACTAGTGAATCGTATGCTTTTGCACGACAGTGGCCGACCGCATGTGCCTCAAGTCGTCTTCCAGAAGTTAAACGAGTAGCGGATTGAAGCTCTCCTTTATCCGCCTCACTAATCAAACCTGTCATCAACCGACCTCTATTCATTCAAAGATCTAGGCAACCTCGTGAAAAATTTAGAATTAAAAAATCAAAGCGGCTTGGAAGCTGCCTTTCTCGAGTTCGTGGAATCCAAATAACCAATTTCTGTGAGAATGGAATAAGCAAACTTGTGCCACGTTAGCAAAGACGTGTAGAATCGAATGGGACTTATAGTGAATGAAAATGTTCACTTTATGATGAGTTATGGTTTTTTGAAAATTAGCCATCAAAAGGGCAAAAACTTTCCTTACAACCTAATGTACATACATATGAACTCAAGAGATCTGCTGAAGAGCGAATTACAGATGCTGGTTTGCTCATGGGGACAGTGTTATCCAGGTGATAAATCTGAAGAGAATCTAAACGTGAAGTTGAAAGAAAAAACTAGAATGAACCTTGGCTGCATATTTTGAAGGCGTGAATAGCGCCATTTTGGGACTTCCCCTCATACGGTCTGCAAGTCATTAAAGAAAACGTTTCAGTGAAAAAATGTTGACAGTGGTGATAAACTTGAAGGTAAGTAAACAAGTCGCAGTGAAAAAATGTTGACAGTGGTGATAAACTTGAAGGTAAGTAAACAAGTCGCAGACACTCAACTAATTGTATAAGATGATTGACACTAGGTGATTGGCTGTTTTCATAGTCAGTCGAGGGTCTGAAAACAAAGAAGAACAAGATCAAAAACCAAACAACCAGGAGCTCGTACAAATGGTTTTTGATCTTGTCTCTCCTTGTTTACAGCCCTTCGAGGGGCTGACCGACCGTCGCCGCCTTCCTCCCCCTAGCACTGCCTCGTGGTACGCCGGCCGGCCGGCGAACTATGAAAGCAGCCATTCTGTGNCCGTCTGCCTCCCTCCTCCCCCTAGCACTGCCTCGTGGCACGCCGGCCGGCCGGCGGACTATGAAAGCAGCCATTCTGTGTCAGATCTCAGTACCTCTGCTTGCGAGTCAGTTCGACAGCTACAGGAAATTGTGGAGTTTGATTGATGGAGCTGGAGTAATAAGTGGAGCTGCAAGAAAAAAAACGAAGTGATCAGTTTAATCATCCTCTAGTAGAATCATCCTTCCTTAAACACTGTTCGATAGTCCTCCCGAGGTAATAGGAAACCCAGAATGAATGAAAGAAGGAGTTGCTCTTTTTTGAGACATCGTCCTTCGACTGAGCGCCCTGTGGTGTTGGTCGGTGGAATCGGAACAAAACTTCCCTTAATTTTTGTCATGATGTACGGAAGGTATGAGGTAGTGACATGAGCAAAAAAAATAGTAGGGTCATTTGGCTCTATGATATTACCTAATCAAAACATGCGAAGGTTAAAACAGTCGTTAGGAAGCTGGTCTCGCGTTGTGGGCAACTACACCTTTGCACTTCATGGTGCCCTTTATAGGGAGGGAAAACTGTCTTTTTATGGCATGGAGCATTTTAAGCTGTGAATCCCCATAACTAGGAGTCGCAATCGCACGCACAACTTCTATATTGGAAATCCTTTTTTTGTTGAGGTTGGTTTTGGATCAATGCTGCCATCTCTAAATTTCTCTATTTGCCTCACTGCGATAGCAATAAGCGTTTCTCAGAGCTGGAAGCCCACTAGACATCTTTTGGCGGGCCTGTGACAGTGAGGCCCTTCCACAGATGACGCTTGCTAACAATTCTCCGTACTAAGCTAGATCATGCTCACTAAAGGGGATCCATCTTCACATTTCCGTTGAACTTTGTTTGCAGAAGGCGGACTAGATTTGCTTCATAGGTTTATCGTTCTTTTTGAAGAGTAGTACATGCGTTAGTACTTTTTCATGAAGGGTAATTAATGTATATTGTTTTGGGGAAATGTATTATAGCACCCCTCACTGTACAATAAACCAGGCGTGTAAAATGAGCGGGAATGAACCATGCTACT